CAGGATGGGCTACAGAATGAGCCCCCAACCCCCTCAGGGGCCTGGTAAAGTAACCCTTAATATTATTTTTAATCCTAGGGCACTCTTTGTCCCCACATCATTACCAGCAGAATCAAATACATAATCCTTTGCCTGGTTTTTAAGCCCTTCACAACCTGGTCCTTGCCTACCTTTCAAATTGGCTTACACGTCACACTTCACTAGCAACATCGACCTTCTTGCTGTTGCTTGCATATGACACTGCATTCCCTAACCCTGACTTCATGCCTTTTCAACGACTGTCCCTTATTGCTGGAATCCTTTTCCTCCTTGTTCCTCCATTCTGACTTCCTTGTTGTTGTTGTTCAGTTGTTTCAGTCATGTTCATCTCTTTATGGCCCCATTTGATGTTTTCTTGGCAAAAGTACCGGAGTGGTTTGCTATTTCCAGAGGCAACCATCAGGCAGTTGGTGATGGACCTCAGAAGAGAAACGAGGGACCGATATATAAATTTGGGAGACATTTGCATAGAGATGATATCTGAATCCATGGGAGCTGAGAAGATCATGAAGAGAGATCTCAAAGAAACTAAAACACTATAGCATAAGAACCACTGTGTTCAGTCAGACCAGACCAATGGTTGATTCATCCCCGTTGATCTTTCTCTCTTACAGACATGCTTCTTGAATTCATTTATACCTTCAGAGGTTTATTGTGGAGCAAGGCTGAGAGACAGACAGACAGACAGATAGATAGAGACAGACAGGTACACATGCATATACAAAGAGACACAGAGAGAGAGAGACACACACACACATACATATACAGAAACAGACAGACAGACACAGAGAGAGGGGAAAGAGTCAAATGGAGAGAGACAGAGACAGAGAAACAGAGACAGAGACAGAGAGACAAAGAGAATAGATGATCCTGACCTGGATCTGATCAGAATTAGGGTTAAATGATTTGAAAGTTGGTGAAAAGTTTTTAGTGAGGAACATGGATACCATACGAATCACTAGGGAAGAAGTTAAAGTTTCTGATTTCAAAGTTCCAAGCCAAATTATATAAAAGGTAAATGGCCGGTAACTTTACATACACATTTAAGCTGATTTTATAATCCATGGAAGGTAAAGGAAACTTCAAATGAAGCTTAATTCAATCCAACTCAACAAATAGTTGTTAAATGCTTATTGTGTCCAGAGCATTGTTTTCAACAGTAGGGGAGGGAAATGCAAAACAGATCAGGTATGTCTTCTGTCCTCATGGATCTTACAGTCTAGTCTATCCAAAAAGAGGCACAGGATGACTTTTCTACAGTTACTGATTTAAAAAAGCAATGGGTGATTCTCAGCACTGAGACTGTTTTAACATAGCAATAGAACAGTCATTTGAAAAGTGAAAGTTTTAATCAATAGGCTATTTGGTTTACATGGTACCAAATGACTGATTAAAAAAATAGGCACTGACATAAATCATTTGCATTTCTACATATTACTAACAAAACCCAACATCAAGAGATAGAAAGAGAAATTCCATTTAAAGTTACTGTAGACATTATAAAATATTTAGGAGTCTACCTGCCAAAACAAAACCAGGAACTAAATGAACACAATTACAAAACACTTCTCACACAAATAAAGTCAGATCTAAATAATTGGAAAAATATCAGTTGCTCATGGGTAGGCTGAACTAATATAACAAAAATGACAATTCTACCTAAATTAATTTGCTTATTCAGTGCCATACCAATCAAACTATCAAAAAATTATTTTATAGAGCTCAAAAAAACAATAACAAAATTCATCTGTAAGAAAAAAGGTCCAGAATATCAAGGGAACTAATGAAAAGAAATGCAAGGGAAGGTTGCCTAGCTGCACCAAATCTTAAATTGTATTATAAAGCAGTAATCATCAAAACTACTTGGTACTGGCTAAGAAATAGACTGGTGGATCAGTGGAATAGGTTAGGTATGTGAGACACAATAGTCAATGACTATAGCAATCTACTATTTGATAAATCCAAAGATTACAGCTTCTGGGATAAGAACTCACCACTTAAAAACTACTGGGAAAACTGGAAAATAGTATGGTAAAAACTAGGCATAGATCAACATCTTACACCCTATATCAAGATAAAGTCAAAATGGGCACATGATTTAGATATAAAAACTGATACTATAAGCAAACTAGACGAGCAAGGAATAATTTACCTATCAGATCTATGGAGAAGGGAAGAATTTATGACCAAACGAGAGATAGAGAACATTATGAGATGCAAAATGGATGACTTTGATTACATTAAATTGAAAAGTTTGTGCACAAAGACAATACAACCAAGATTAGAAGGGAAGCAGAAAGCTGAAAAACTATTTTTACAGCCAGTGTCACTGATAAAGGCCTCATTTCTAAAATACAGAGAGAACTGAATCAAATTTGTAAGAAAACAAGTCATTCCTCAATTGGTAAATGGTCAAAGGATATGAACAGGCAGTTTTCAGATGAAGAAATTAAAGCTATCCATAGTCATACGAAAAAATGCTCTAAAACACTATTGCTTAGAGAAATGCAAGTCAAAATAACTCTGAGGTACCACATCACACCTATCAGATTGGCTAACATGACAAAACAAGAAAATGATAAATGTTGGAGAAGATGTGGGAAAATTGGAATACTAATGCATTGTTGGTGGAGTTGTTAACTGACCCAACCATTCTGGAGAGCAATTTGGAACTATGCCCAAAAGGGTTATAAAATTATACATACCTTTTGACTCAGTAATAGCACTTCTAGGTCTTTATCCCAAAGAGATCATAAAAATGGGAAAAGGACCCACATGTACAAAAATATTTATAGCAGCTCTTTTTGTGGCAGCAAAGAATTGGAAATTGAGGGGTTGTCCATCAATTGGGAAACAGATGAACAAGTTGTGGTATATGAATGTAATGGAATACTACTGTGCTATAAGAAATGATGAGCAGGCAGACTTCAGAAAAACCTGGAAAGACTTATATGAACTGATGTTAAGTGAAATGAGCAGAACCAGAACATTGTACACAGTAACAGCCACATTGTGGGATGACTGACTTTGATAGACTTAACTCTTCTCAGCAATGCAAGGTTCAAAAACAATTCCAAAAGATTCAAGATGGAAAATGCTATCCACATCCAGAGAAAGAACTATGGAGTCTGAATGCAGATGAAAGTATACTATTTGCTCCCCTTTTCTTTTGTTGTTTTGTTTTGTTTCTTCTATCTCATGGTTCCTCCCATTAGTTCTAATTCTTCTATACATCATGAATAATGTGAAAATATGCTTAATATGAATGTATAAATAGAGCCTGTATCAGATTGCATGCTGTCTTGGGGAGAGGGGAGAAAAGGGAGGGGGAGAAAATTGAAAACTCAAAATCTTATGGAAGTGAATGTTGAAACTAAAAATAAATGATTTTTTTTTTAAAAAAAAAAGGTGAATCAACTGATTTCTTTGGTCAACTTCAAGTAGTTATGACTCATCACCCCTCTCTTACCTTTTCACTCCAATATAAGCATTTTTTAGATATGTTAGGTGTTCAGTTTCAGACTACTGCAATAAAGCAAATATAGAATAAAGCTAGTCACACAAATTTTTTGGTTTCCTAGTACATATAAAAGTTACGGTTATACTATACGATAGTCTATTAAGTGTGCAATAATATTATGTCAAAAAAAGCACAATATACATACCTTAATTAAAAATACTTTATTGCCAAAAACGCTAACCATCATCTGAGCCTTCAGAGTCATATTTTTTTTTGCTGGTAGATGGTCTTGCCTGGATGTTGATGACTGCTGACTGATGAGGGGGTGTGACCCAATTTGGCACATGCTTTCCTCACTAAGCTAATCTTTTCTAGCTTTTGACTTAAAGTGAGAAAAGTGTGACTCTTGTTTTCACTTGAAAACTTAGAGGCCATTGTAGAGTTCCTAACTGGCCTAATATCAATATTGTTGTGTCTCAGGGAACAGGGAGACTGGAGGAGAGGGAGAGAGACTGGAATGGCTGGTGGATGGAATAGTCAGAACACACACCAACATTTATCAATTAAGTTTGTTGTCTTATATGTGTACAATTTTTGGTATCCCAAAACAATTAACAATAGTGATATCAAAGATCACTGATCACAGGTCACCATAACAGATGAAGACACTGAGGCCCAGGGAAGTAAGGTGACTTGTTCAGGGTCACACACATAATAAGTGTCAAAGTTAGGGTCTCTGACCCCAAATCCAACAAACAGTCAATTCTTACAAAAATAAGTATTCAGCCTGGAGAGGAAGCAGGTTATGTGTAGTGTAAAGCAAACCAGCCTCGTAGTCAGAATATATGATCAGAGACATAGGGTGGAAAGGGACCCCAGAGGCCTTCTAGTTGAACCCCCTTATTTCAGAGATGAGGAAACCCAGGCCCAAATAAGTTAAGAAACTTGCCCAAGTTCACACAACCAATCAATAAACATTTATTAAGCATCTACTACATTCCAGGAACTGTACTAGGTGACAGGGATACAAAGACACAAGCAAAAAGAACCCAGCCCCTCAAGAAGCTTATATTCTGGGACCTGGGGGAGACAATATAACCATCTATAGGTATATGCAAAATGGATTTAAAAAATATTGATGTATTTCAAGCAATACATCAGTCACTAGGAGAGACAGAAGAGGCCTTACTTGAGCTGAGTGTTGAAGGAAACCAAGAGTTCCAAGAGGCCAAGGTGAGGGGGGAGTGCATTCCCCACATAGAGACAATCCATGCAAAGGTCTTTTGTGTGAGGAATAGTAAGAAGGCTGGTTTGGCTGAACCAGAGAGTATGTGGATGATAGCAACATGTAGTAAAGCTGGAATAGTAGGATGGGATTAGGTTGCGAAGAGCTTTATTTATTTTTTTTTTATTTTGATTTATTTTTAAAGCACAGAGAATTAAATATTTTCCCAGTTCCAATTCTCTCCCTTCCCCTCCCCCTGCCCCACATATTGAGAAGGTAAGGAAAACAAAGCCCATTGCAAATATGTATAGTCATGCATTAGTCATGTTTTTTAAAAAAGAAAGAAAAAGAGAAAAAAATAAGCTTCACTCTGCACTCTGAAACCATTAGTCCTCCATCTCTTTCTCTACAGATAGCATGTTTCATCATGAGTCTTTTGGAATTAAGGTTGGTCATTGCATTGATCAGAGTTCCCAAGTCTTTCACAATTGATTATCTTTATAAAATTACATTGCTGTGTAGATTGTAATCCAGGTTCTGCTCACTTCACTGTTCATCAGTTCATACAGGTCTTGTGAAGAGCTTTAATTGTCAAAGGATTTTCTATTCGATTCTTGAGGCAATCAGGAACCATTAGAGTTTATTGAGTTGGGAAACAACACAGTCAGAACTGAAGTTTAGGAAAATCACTTTGGTCACTGTGGAAGATGGACTGCAGTGGGGAGAAATACAGGGGTGAGGGAGGGAAAAAAAGAAAAGAAGAAAGTTACATGATAACTTTGTTATATATTTAAAAGGAGTAGCAAGTTTTACATAATAGATTTGCAGTTTCATGTACAATCAACTTTTTTTTCTATTCTGCTATGTTATGGGAATGATTGTTTTATTTCTTAAGAATTAAACAAAATAAGTAGAATAAATCAGAATAAAATAAACAAAAAATTTTTAAAAGAACACTAGAGTATTTGATGTCCATAAAACCAGTTATTTATTTTAAAGTTTTCCTTGTGGTCATCAAATACTCATCTTTTCCCCAGTTTGGTTTATTTTGTATGATTTCAATATATTAATAAACCATGAGTGTGGAACTAAGTCAAAGGCTTTACAACAATCAATAAAGTCAACTTAATGTTAAAAAAGAGGTTAAAGGGAGGAATTTGAACCCAGGGACTCTGATTTAGAGATCTCATGCCCTTAGCACTTCTACCACATTACCTGCCTCCTTTAATTCGAAGCCAAGTTTGAGTTGTTTTTGGCACAACAAATTTCTATTCATTTGGGGGTGGGGGGCAAACTAGACTGTGCACCCTCTGTGATGGCTGAGACTTACTTATCCAAAGCAAGCAAATTTAGGAGCTCTGATCTATGCGATGACCAACCATAATTCCAAAGGATACGCAATGAAACATGCTACAGACCTCCAGACAGAGAGCTGATAGACTTGAAGAACAAATTGATGCACATTTTCTTTTCTTCTTTTTAGATTTAGCTAATGTGGGAATTTGTTTTGCTTGACTATAGATATTTGTAATGGTCTTGTTTTTCTTGTCTTCTCAGCCAGTGGGGGAGAGACAGGTGGAATTGAGAGAATCTGGATCTGAAAATAAAATAAAATTGAATTTAAAAAAGTAGGTAAGTTGCTTAGTCTCTCTGAGCCTCAGTTTCCTCATCTGTAATATGGGGATGATACTTTAACTAACTTACAAGGTTATTGTGAGGAAAGCACTTTGTAACTTGTAAAACACTGTATAAATGTGAGCTGTCATAAATGTGAGCTTGGTTTATAGGTGTGCAGTATGCTCTGAAGATTTTTATGTTTTCTGAAATGTTTATATTGATTTTGTTGCAACATGAAGTATAATGAATTATACAGCCATTTCAGCTTCTCCCTCCATAGTGTAAATCAGGGTCAGACAAAAGAGAGTAAGTGATAGTCATGATCAATAGACCATGCTAATAAAAATGCCATAAGAGCATGGAGCTGAGTATGGTAGAAACCCATCTTATCTTTCTGAGCACTATACCTAGAACATTGCCCTGATGATAAGGACCCCTCAATGAAGACTTTCAGTTGACTGGCCAACGATAAAGACGAGTCCAGAGAACCAAATGTAGACACAGAGGTGAAAGCAGAGTTGTGGGGAACCCAGAACTCTTACCTAAGTGAAGAGAAAGGCTTAGGAAAGGAGCAGTCAAGATCATAGTTTTATATAAAAAATTATCAGATGTAACTAGAAGGTGGCAATACAACAGTTGAAAGGAATAAATGAGAAATTACTGAGATCAGGTTTTAATTGTACCTTCAGTTTGTGTGAGCTTTGTGAGCTGAGGCAAGTTGCTTAACTTCCATAGTGCAATGGAAAAACCAGTGAATTTGGGGTCAAAGAACCTGGGTTCAAAGTCCAGCTCTACCAATTATTTCCTGTGTGCCCTTGGGCAAATCATTTAACCTCTCTTGGGCATCAGATTCCTTATCCGATAAACAAAGGGATTGGACTTCATGCTCTTTAAGGTCCTCCTTGTCTCTAAATATTTGATTCTGTGTTCCAGGTATTAGAGTTGTCAGTCAGTCAACACGCATTTATTAAGCATCTTCAATTCAACAAATGTATCATAAGTGCATATTGTATGCCTGGTAAGGTGCTAGGCACTGAAGTGAATGCACGTTTAGTTAAGACACTGACTGACCTTAGGTGCTTATAGACTTCTTGGCATTAGACACATTAATCAATAGCCAATACAAAATAATGCCTGCTCGGTATTATTTTTAAGAATAGGATAGGGACTGCTAGGTAGCATAGTGTATAGAGCACTGGCCCTGGTATCCAGAGGACTTGAGTTCAAATCTGACCTCAGAGACTTACTAGCTGTGTGATCCTGGGCAAATCATTTAACCCCAAATTCCTCCAAAAAGAAATTTTTTATAAAGGGGTAAAATAAGGTGCTTTATGAAGCTCTGTGGAGAAAATGGGTAATTAGCGATCAGGGAGACATTTGAATTAAGCTTTAAGGATGGTTTCGGATTCAACAAGCAAATATGGAAAGAAAGAACATTTCTGGTCTAGGGAAATAATAAGCAAAAGCATAAGTTGGGGGGCAGCTGCCCTTTGGTCAATTGATTCTCATCCCCAAATCCTCCACTATTCATGGAAAGGAGACACTCAAGTCATGACTAGGGGATCAGAGAACAGTCTAGTTTGACTAGAGCAGAGATCATGAAGAGAAGAAGAAGATTAAGTTGGAAAGTTAGAATGGTGCCAGATTGCTGTGGGTCCTGAATGCCAGGCAAGGGAATTTTAACTTTACTTAGGTAATAGAGAACCAAGGAAGATTTGGAAATAAAAAATTAAGAAGATTAGATCTATGGATAAGGAGTAGAGAAGAGAATACATTTATAGACATTGCTTACCATAAGGGATCCCAAGATTATAGATTTATGGGAAGGGTCCACATGGGTTATCTAGTTCAACACCTTTATTTTACAGATGATACAACTGAGGTTCAGAGAGAGATTAAATGACTTACTCAAAATCAGAAAGGCAATAAGTGACAGAGCCCATATGCAAACTTCAGTCCTCTGACTCAAATCCAGTGACCATTCTAGGGCACCACATTTCTCCCTCCTCCCTGCCCCCATCTCTCTGTCTCTGTCTCTGTCCCTTTCTCTGTTTTTCCTTGTGTGTGTCTCTCTGTCTCTGTTTCTCTCTCATTTTGGACTTAGAACTGTTAAAGTAGGACACGAATCCATTTTGCAGAACTTGCAGCAGAAAAAACATCATGGTCCCAAACTATAGGAATCTGAGCTTCCTTGATTTTATGATTTCATGATTTTTATCATTTCATTAGATTGTGGCTCTTTTTAGAAAACTATAAAAGGAGGTGGGGCAATGGATAGTGTAGCCTAGCTCTAGAAGACACTGTAAACAGCCAGACAAAAGGAGTGACACTCTAAAAACTAAAAGTATAAAGGCAGGAGGGAGATCCTAAGGCACTGGAGAAATTGCTGTCAGCCCTAATTAGAAGTGGAGATGGAGATGGCAGCAGATGAGAGATCCCTAAATCAAGAAAATACTATAAAGTGATTAGGGCTGGCTACCAAGATATGAAAAGAACTGAATGTTCCTCTTATGACTGAGGATCTTACAATGCCTCACTGTTGTCAGTCTTGTTTGTTTAGGGTTCAGGCAATGAGGCATAGTGGGAAAAACCTGGTTTCTGTCCTTAGTCCTAATCTCTTTATGTAGGTGACTCAAAATGTTTATCTCCAAATCTCCAAAGCTCTAGATCTCACTTTATGAAGGACATCGTGTCTTCTACAAAGTGGAGTTTGTGATGAATCAGGATCATTTGAAGAAACTGGTGATGCTTAGCATGGAAAAGAGAAGATTGGAGGGAGAATATAATTGCTCTCTTCTAGTACTTGAAGAGTGTCATGTGGAAGAGGTATTAAATTTATTCTGCTGTGCCCAAGGGGAAGTACTAGAATCATTGGTAGAAAGAATTTTTTAAAATTAGATTTCATCTTATTTTTCAATTAACAAGCATTTTCCCCTCCCTATACACATGCATGCTAGGAAAAAGAAAAAAACAAATTGTTTGTAAAAAAAAAAAAAAGCGTAGTTAAACAAAACAAATTTCCACATTGACCATGTCCAAAAATGTGTCCCATTCTTCATATTCACTCCATCATCTTTCTATCAGGAGGTGAATAGTATTTTTCATCATTCCTCTGGAGTCATGGTTGATTATTGTCTTGATTAGAGTTAAATCTTTCAAAATAGTTAATTTTTGCAATGTTGTTATAGTACAAATTATTCCCCTGGTTCTGCTCATTTCACTCTATATCAGTTCATACAACTCTTCCAAGGTTTCATTAAAATTATCCCTTTCATCCTTTCTGACAGTACAATAGTATTCCATGTCATTTATGTGCCATGAATATGCCATATTCGACCCTCCCTGAGTTGACTGGCTCTTCCTCAATTTCTAGTTTTTTTGTTACAGTAAAAGGAACTGTTATAAATATTTTTGTACATATGAATCCTTTTTACCATGTTAAAAACCTTTTAGGGGGTAGACATTAACTGTGTCAATGGTTATGCAGAGTTCAATAATTTGGGATATAGTGCCAAATTACTTTCTAGAATGGATGAACCAATTCACAACTCCACCAACAGTGTACAAGTGTGCCTGTCTTCCCATAGCTTTTCCAATAACCATCATTTCTTTTTTTTTCCATCTTTGCCAATCTCATGGATGTGAGATGGAATCTCAGGTTTGTTTTTATTTTTCATTTCTCTAATTGTTAATGATTTAGAGCTTTTTTCATACATATACCTATTCATCTGTCTATATTCTTTGACCGTTTATCTGTAATATCAATTAGAAGCTTAACATGTACTTCTGATGATTTCAAAGGAAACAGTATAAGAAATGGTATTTTGGGGTAGCTAGGTGGTGCAGTGGGTAGAGCACCGATCCTGGAATCAGAATGACCTAAGTTCAAATCCAGTCTCAGACCAGACATTTGACACTGACTAGCTGTGCAAGAAACTTAACCCCAATTGCCATGCAAAAAAAAAAAAAAGGATATTTTGTCCTAAGGAATTTGTTTCCATGTCTAACCCATTACTCACCTGGTCCTTTGGCACTAGTTGCAAAAGGAACCTTTGAGAAAGATAAATGCATTGATTCTAGACAATGTTAGGTATACACTAATAAGTGCAATAAAGATAACTTATATATGAAATCAAAGCATCTTCAAAACACCCTCTGTCTAAAAGGTTCTGGGAAAAATGATAGTGAAAATAGATTCATAAAATGGGACTTTGCTCTGTGTCTGCAGTTATGTTCCGATTAACCTCTTTGTTTCAATTCAGATACAGTCTGCAACCAGCTAGACTTCCCAGAGACAAATGACAGGAGAACACATAGAGAGCAGTCTTGCAACAAGACCTCTAAACTGCAACGCAAACCTAAGGATAAGAGATGCTACTATTTTTTGAATTAACACAAAAAGCCAAACTATTAGTTTTCTGTGGTAACAAGAAAGATTTTTTTCTTTAAATATTGAAAGAATGTATAGATTTGTGTCTGTTCAGAGTAGGTATAACCTTCAATAATCTAAAAGCAGGATAGTCAAAATACACAGAATAGAGTCTGAGGGCTTGGCTATTCCATAAGAGCAGGAGAAAGGCTTTCCCCCTCCCCCTAATGTGAAAATGACATGAGCAGAATACAGTATTCAGGGAAAATGCTACAGAGTTATTTTCACATGTAGCACATTGGTTTAAAAAATACTTCACATTATTCTTTAAAGCAAGAGAATATTTTTTGAGTAGAATATGAAAGTATTTATTAGGTGACTTTTTTTATTGGGGGAGGAGGTGAAGGAGGAGAATCTGAATTGAATCCAAAATTGTCCTCTTGCTTTTCATAACTCAGGACTGACATCCCCCACTTCACAGCTCCCATCTGCTTCTCCATCTGCTCCCTGGGTTTCTCTCCACCTGGCCTTCATACTTTCACTACTGAGCTCCCTACATAAGAATAGCTTTTTCATCTTCTCTGTTTTGTATCGATCACCCCACCCCCCCA